AGTTGTTCTCATTAATAGTGACAGCTGCAATAAAGAAAATAGGAAAGACACCCCCTGCCTTGGCTCCCGACCTGGCCTCTTTGGCTTACAGAGCCAACCGGCCCGGCCTGGCCCGGCCCGGTCTGGGGGCAGCTGGCAAGAGCGAGACAGGTTGAGAAAGAGGCTCCGGGTCCGACTCCCAAGGTGACCGAGAGGCACCCTCGGGGCTGCGCACTCCCGACTCCTCTGGGGACCGCTCTGTCCAGCGTGCCCGCGTGCAGGGGTGACGGGATGGCCACTGCGCGCCGGTTCCCGGACCCTGCCGAGCGTGGCGTGGAGACCGACTCTCGAAAAGGGGCCACTGGTACCCATGGGGTCGCCTCCAATCAAGCTTTGTTCATCAGAGGAACAGTTCCTCTCTCCCTAACGCTTCTCCTCTCTTTGCGTCCCAGCTTTTCACCCTACTCCTTCCCAGGGGGACGGGCACCGACGCGGTAACCTCCATTCGGACTCCACAGGGCTCCGAGAGGCGACGTTGGCTGCACCTAGAGCAGGCGGGCGGCAGCAGGCCCGGGTGACCCGCACAGGGCCGGGCGCGCATGGCGCACAGCCGGCCGCCGCCTCGGCCCCTGCCCACCACCCCGCGGTACCTCTGGCCTGTCTGACCGGGTCGGGTCGCTGCGGCCGCGGCGGAACCCGGCACCCGCCCAGCATTACAACTTCTAGCGCGCTGTCCGCGACGTCCCTCCGGTTACCCTGGGGCTGGCGTCTCTCGTCCCATCGGAGGGCACAAGGTTAGCGTCCTGCTCTGCGGTGCCCCACGACGGGTCGTCGGATGTCATTGACAGCACCTTCCTTTCAACTTGTTTTATGCCTGCTCTCTGCACGTGCAGAGGATGCGGGGACTCCCCCCGAAACTCTCAGTTGTGCTTCCGCATCCGTGTGCCCCTCTATCGGGCATCTGTAGTATTTATCTGTTCCCCGAAAGCAGTGACCGAAAAGTAAATAAATAGGTGAGAGAAGGGAAACCTGGCAGGATTTCCTCTCGTCTTGTCACGAACTACATATCCCAGGAAGCCCAGGCGCCGGGACGCGTGTCCCTTCCGCCATCCACTTGGAGAAGGCCTTACTCAGCCTGGCCGGACACACGGGCCAATCCCCTCGCCCTACACCTTGGCTGGCCTCTGAGACGGATTCGCCCTCAAATGATGCTCCAGTTGCAGAAGCAGCACAAGTTTGTCATTGTCCCGAGAAAGAGGAGCACTCCGATTCCTGC